TTAAAAAAAAAATACATTATTACATTAGTATTCTATTTGATGTTGTTAATGAATCAATATCCTGACATTTTTTTTACATTTATCAGCTTTTTAAATAGCGGAATTCTGAACATTAGCTAACTATTGAGCATATTTTGTAAAAACTACTTAAATCCTGGGTTGTCACTGCTTCTCTTTTATTGTACAGTAACAGGAAACCAGCAATCCTGGGTTTCTCTATGTGGAGGAAAGCAGATACCAACAGACCATAACAACAAACCAAAAAGAAATCTGATTATAAATAACCTATACAGGAACAATCCTTTCAAATAGGATTGTCCTATACATTATTTCAATAGAATTTAGTGTCCATAATACATACATGTATGATGACAACATTTCACAAGAATAACAGGAGACCTTTTGATTGATTTCCAACATGAAAACCAAATAAGATAGTTTGGCCTAAGGGACAAAGTAAAACTAATGAAGCATGTGTAAGGCAGATCTTGGCCTGACCTGACTTTCGAATTTCAAGCTGGGCTGACTCATACCTTTCTACCCTGTGACAAACATTAACTATAACCCCTCGTGACCTCAGGCAATATTAGACAGGGTTCATCTCAAAATACCATCTTACATGGGCTTTCTTTGCTGAAGTATCAAGACTGAGGGTGTACTTTTATTAATTTATTTTTAAAAAAAACCGACATTTTTCTTAACCCAAATGTAGCCATAATATCTGAACCAGTACACATGTACCACTATAAAACTGAAACTCACTATAAATTTGTAAATTGTTTATGAAGTAATTTGAAGTGATATTTCTGTGCTCCAAAATATTCGGTGAGTCTGATGCAATTACTCTACATGTACTATATTACATTGGGTAACATTGTCTGTGTGTTGCGCCATATAAGAATATGAGTTTTGTACTATAATTGATACTTTTAGTAACAAAAGCAACATGTAATAATAACACTCAAACTGATCAATTATAGCAGAGTATGTTACATTATTTATATGGTGTAATTTTAGTATCTGATGTAATAGGAATATATTAGATGTCTACAGAGCTTGTTTTATCCAATCTGCCTGCTTTCTGTCTATTTACCAGGATATTTGGATCAATACCCTCAATATTTTGATCTCGGCTCATTTTTTTCCATCAAAAAAGGAACATTGATTTGATGGTAACTATGGTGGAAATTAGTATCGATCCATCCCCACATAGAGAACAAATCTGATAAAAAAATACTGTCTGACTCGTGGAAAATGTTGGTATGAAGCCATCAAGTAATACCTGCTCTACCCATCACAACAACAGGCAGTACCGTAATTCGTATTATGTAATAATAAGAAATTGTTGCATTATCTTTATTATTGATACTGATGTGTAATTAGTTAGATTATGAGTAAGAATATAGTGGTGAAACTTGATATACATGTACATGTATTTCACTGATTTCAAAATATTAATGAGTACAAATTTGACATTCATTCTACCTTCTAAGTTTAAAAATAAATATCATAGAACGTGAAAGAGTGGTAAAGTTACGCCATACTTGATTATCTAGGCATTGGAATACCTGTACAAAAACAAGTGACAAAGAGATGGAAAGGGATTGGTTGAAATAAAGATTAAATGCATACAAATCCCACGTTTTAACAATTTATTATTGCGGCATTGAAATCTTGCAACATCAGTTATGTCGATAATGCAATTTGCATGCAATATACATGTTAAATCAAAGCTTTCCAGGTTCATAAATAATCTTTATGGTTTTTTGTTGCATTTATACATCTTTTACATTTTGAAAGAAAATTTCATTCTAAAATATCATATTGTAAGTTTGTGCACCAGATCAACAAGATTGGTCTCGGGCGTGGTTTATGTTAATATATTTACAGTGTGTATTCCTAACGCGTACAGCTTCAAAAGGAATTGTAACTCTGACAACATTATTCTTTGTTGACGATACAAAACTCAGAGTAGATTAACTTTTAATTTTTAAACAAATTTACACAGACCCAACAGATTGGGCTTCATGTGTATTTATGCATTGCTTATTTCATTGTAAATCACATTAGCATATACACATTAAAGAGGAAATCTCACCTCTGCCGTAGAAAATTAGTCTTCATTGATTTCTCAATAAGGATAGATTCATGTTCATTCACACAATTAGCAAGACACAGATGTTTTTGGATTAAATATACGACTCACACAGAAATGTGTGATTAGTACAAGTTAGTCTGGCATTATTTATGAAAGTTATAATCTGTGTTGTTCAATATCCACAAAGTACATAGCCTCAACATTTTGACATGTCTTTATTTTCTTAATTTTTAACTTGCATCTAATTCTAACAATCTAATGAAGAAGACAAAGAATTTGATTGTTAAGACTAGAGGCCAACTGTGAGTGTGTTTTGGCCAATGTTCAATGGGTTTTTCTCATTTACAACAGGGAGGGAAAGGTGGTATTTGCCTGAGCTACATGTACAGCAAATAGCTCATTTTACATCAGTCATTTGATGTGCTGAATGCAAGAACACATGCAGCAGTTTTCAACTATGTTATTTGTTAATTTAAAGAAAATCGAATGGGCAATGCACTATTTTATCCTAACTAAACTGGCTATTGGCAAATAATACATATTCTAAAATTCCAATGAATTTAAGGTTCACTGATTCTTGGGCTCAACAGTCAATAGGTTCACTGGTTTGAAAAAAATAACAATAAAGATATATTTATCAATAACTGAATTGGATTGAACAATCTGGATAGAATAACTTTAATGAGCTTAATTCTTCAATAAAGTATATTTGGATATCCTTTGTATGCATCATGTCAATACTTATAGTACATACAAAAGCTAAATTTTAGGAGATATTTAAAGGGGAAAAAATCATAACAACTTTGAATTTTTTTTTTTTTAAGAACATCTTAAAAATTATTCTATTTTAGAAATTCATGTTTTAAGAGTTGAATAGTATATATTTAGATAAACGTTGAAAAGGTTTTTGTCAATGTGTTGTGTAAGGGCAGCATGTGGCCATATTCTCAAGCCTTATAAAACATGACCTAGATCTGTATATAAGTGACATTGTTAAGGTTTAGCGTCCAAATTGAGCCGAAACAAGCTTCAGTCGGTCATGTACAAGTGTACCAGTCACTAAATAATAAATAAATTTAATCCCTAAGATAAACAATATACATATTTACGAGTATTTACTATCAAATATTCTCCATGGGATATCACAAATCAGTTGGATTTAGAAATAAAAATCTTGATGCTGGGAATCTACATCTATGAATCATTAGGCCTTGCAGGTATACATGTAAATAAAAGGACAAACAAACCTACAATGAATATTTAGACCTATCTTTACTACAATAAAAACATATTTCAAAGGACAAGAATAAAGAAACATTTTCTTCATTAAAACACTATTGTATTTTGCAAGGGATTCCTATGTTGCTCAAATCATGCTCAGAGGTTTTAATAATAGAAGGAATATTATCATTTGTCATCAAATACTAAGATCATATTCCACAGAAAATTCAGATTAGAGCAGACAAAGGGAAAAATTAATAAAGAATTAATGAAATCCTGAAGAATGAAAAAGAAACAGAAACTCTTCTTGGATATCTCTAAAAAAAATAATTGAAATGATTGAAAGCATCACCTGTACTATAAAGAGATTGTTTTTAATGTCAGAAAAAAAACTGGTCACACATGAACAATCAAATTTAGAATAAGGAGAGAAATTGAACTAAAAGATCCAACTACTGATTAGGTGTTTCAAGTGCTAATTCATTTTCTCTCTTGTACTTTCTACGCCCACTGTCATAAACCTACATGTATAACATAGAAACTAAATCCCTCCTCTGACCTCATTTTTAACTGTATAAATATAGGATGGTGAAAACTGTAATTAAAGGTAAAGCATTACAAAGAATCGAAGATTCGAACAATGGATGACATACAAAATCCTTAATAATAATAGTATTGATTAAGGACTGTGGCTGCCTGATGGAATTAGGTTCATATTGATTCTAGAATAGAATTAATCTTGAGTTTCAGTGATTGACAGGTTTTTCTAGTAAATTGTTATAACCACTGACCCATTTTAAAAATGTATAAAACTAAAATCATTATGAATGTTATTTAGTATGGCAAATGGTACATGTACGTAGGTAGAGATACATGTATATAGCTCCTTATATGAAATACAATATAAAGTAATTACATCCAAACAATAGGTATAATACAATACTGAATAATTCACAGGTGTGAATCAAAACAGAATGAGATGAGACTGACCTAATTAGAATGGATATTTATCTGCAGTTAAACTATGATCTAGTATTGATAATCAATGTCAGTTGTGTTTATTATTGAATCTATAGTCGCCATTACTCCCAGTATTTAACCAATGTCCCTTATACATAAACACAGAGATGCCTTACATTAAATATTTACAACCAAATTTTTATTGGGCTAGAAATAAAACATTTCATCAGGTACATTTGGCAGAAAGCCAAGGTGACACTGTGTATTGTGGAGTGTATATTAATAAATATGGTCATACTGTATTCTACTATGTGTATCACATGATCACATTTCACATGGTAATATATCATTAGAAAAGTGAACATTTTAAAATATTCATAAGTATTTCCATTGTATAATTTTTAATATCACTAAATAACTTGTAAGAAGAGAGACCAAAAATGTCACAAATACCAGTATATAGGTCTATTATTATACGATTTTACACACATTAAATAAAATGGATTATTTTTTCCCCAGTGGAACATCCCTTTACGAGATATGATTACAATGGGTGACACTGCCATACTTAAATGTAACCAGTGCTCTTCCTTAAAAATATTCTAAATTCAATCACTTTTAATTATTGACCTAATTAAAAAAAACATCAATGTATATAAGGTATATCAAAAACTCTGTTAGTTACATACTAAATTCAAAATAATAATAAACATATACTTACATATTCTTTGACGTTCTTGGTTCTAACTGCCTTATATGATGCATAGGCTGGATACAAGGTTCCAAATACAAGTCTGCAAAAACCATAAAGATAAGGTGCCATTAATACTTCTATTGACAGAATTAATTCTTTCATTGGACTACAGTAGTCAGCAACCCAATATAGAAGTTTAATTAATCCATTAAAAAATGGTACAACACTTTCTATCATTCTGATATTGTTCTTGTGGCTTTAATATCATATTTCTGGATAAATAATTTCCTGTAAATGGCACTGATTTGGAATCTTTGCATTGTTTTTTAAACTCATTGTTTGGTGTTCCACTAAAACCAAGCAAATGATTTTCCATTTGATACATGGAAGTCAGTACGGTATATAGAATTCCTCCACATTTGTTGAAGTAAGATATGCAGTATTACTTTTGCAATCGAAGTCCAATTGCATGTAATTATTAATTTCAATGTAAAGTAAAATCTGTTACATATTCTTTAACCAACAATATTTCTTCCAATGTCACAGCTGTTAAAGAAAACTATACATGTATTTAAAATTCCAACTCTTCTATAACATATATTTAGAGAGACCAAATCACAATAGACCACATTACCACACCTACAAAAGGAATTGACGGGAAGAATTTTCATGAATAAATAAATACCCAGTGAGCAGAGTTGCAGTTTGCAACACATGCATTTTTTTAGGCCTACTGTAGTTGCATACCATAATTTTACGTTAGACCAGATATGTATGCATGTATGAACATAAATTATTAAAAGAATTGGATTAAAATATGTCAACAAGTCTTATTCTGACAAAGCAGATGGCATAAATCAATTTGGTATTTTCCAAAAGAAAAAAAAAATCAGTGTTCTGTATCTTCAGTTAAAATACAATCTAATCTACATGTACTAGATAAGGAAATTGTGGCCAGTGACAATATATGACCACATGTCATTGCCGCTGAGCAAAAAGTATAATCTGTAATAAATTTTTACAATCAGATAAGTATTATGTCTTTGTTATATTTTTAAAGTCAAGGTTAATAAATTATATAATTTAAAGTCAGTTCTGTTATAATCATGTAGGTAACTTACAATGTTATCATTACATACAGCTGACTATGGTAAGAGGTAAGAGTTCAAAAGTCTGTGGAAAGATCAAAAGTTGACAAAGGATAGTAATTATACAAAGTTATAGCTAAGGGACAGTTTGACCGGTCAATGTATGGATACAATTTAGAGGTTTACAGTTCTACAAGTCAGGTATCATAATGTGATTGACTAGATTATGTAAATATTCTTGTATGTCCATCCTTGGAAATTGCATGTATTATGTTTAGCCTTTTCTTCAAGAATAAGAAAAATGCCTTCATTTTGCTACTGATTTGACATTACTGTTTACGGAATATGTTTCTTAATAAAGATTTTTGATTACATGTAGGCCTAATGTAGAATGTTTTACACGTTTTCTTTATAGACCAGGCACATGAAAGATTTGTGATCTAATACTTTATGAACATATCAAATGCTGATTTTGGTGTTTGTTAACTTGAATATTATTCAAATGACCAATTTTTTAACTGTCTTTGGTGCATTTATATGATTTTTAGAAACTGTAGATATTTCAAATCAATATTACATGTATTTTCTGCACATTTTTATTAATATTAACATCAGATTAATGAGTTAATATTATTAACCTTTTTCTGGGAATATAAGGGACTGGTTTAAAGATTAATGTATTTTACAGAAAAAAATTAATCAAAAAATGCATTGAACAATGTAAAAGTTATTCCTACAGTCCTACCTACAATGTCATGTATTTTTGTTTTGCACAATGATTAAATAAAAGAAAGGAACAACTGCAGTCTTAGGCTTCTGTTCATCATACAAATATTATTATGTTTTATATACTGTACAGGTAAACAACTATAACAAACTATAACACATGTCTAGCATTGATCAGACCAGGTACATGTATATCATCTACCATTCCATCCATTAGTTATCTACTAGTAGTATTAATAATCTGCTAAATCTGGCATTCTTCCTAATTCACTCATACAAGAATCCTGAATACATTCACAATAAACATTGAACCAGGGTAACCTGTAAACACCTTCACTTAACACACAGGAACATGAACATGAAGATCTCGATTTGACCTCAATTAGACAATCTAAATCGATGGCTAGTCGCCTCCCATACTCAGTACACAGAACACAGTGCTGGACAATACACAGAATCTGACTTTGAAGTAATCAGGGTAACCTGGGAAAATATCAACACCTAAATATACAGGTAATGGGTTACAAAATGGCCACCAAACTTTTCGCAAGGAATTTGTTAATAACCTGGCAACTGTTCACCATGGCAACCAGAACTAGGTGATGCTACAACTCAAGTACAGATGTGTTCCCCATCCCACCCCAGATCAAGATGAACCAAAGATAAGGTCTAACAGGTCTTGGCATCAACACAAATATGATAACTGATCAGACCTGGTCTGTTTTTACTTTCAAGTGCCAGCTTTAAATCTCTGTGCACAGCACACAGACTTTATTTCAACATGTAGGTTACTGTACACCGTTCGTTCATATATTCAATGCAAAATATATTAGTACCTACAGTACACAGCATACAAGCTATATATATGTATGCAAAATACATTTTCTTTTCTTTCAAGATGAATAAAACAGTGTTGCCAGGCCACAAAAATATATGTGTACCCATCAACAGCATTTCAAAGGATACATATACATGTAGCTTTCAAGCTAGCTACTAAATTAATGATAACTACAAATTATTTTATAAGTAGTTTCGCTATTAGCCTGTACTCAACAGATTATACAGATGAAAGTTCTGGGTCTCAAAGAATACCTTTGATGTGCACATGAAGCAACTCACTTTCCTAGACAATAATTGCAACATGTCTATCAAGCACGTGGATAAAGGCTTACCTAGGGATGTAAGTTAAGGGGAGGTTGAGTGATCACTCTCCTATGACAAAGTTTGACACTGACTTTATTTACCAAATATTAACAAACCTAATATTTCTATAGGAGGGTTACACGTACATTGATGTTGAAACTAAAGACCTAATTTAAACTCATGATGAAATTGACAGAATATTGATTGAGTTGTACCAGCTGTTGTTGTTTTTACTACTGTATACTTTATACCACCAGTACCATGTCACATTATCTATACATGTATGGACAATCAATATCAATATATTCATTTTAATAACAGTTTTCATTATTGTGTCTATTATTCTGACTCTATTGCATAGCAAAGAGTCACAGTATTTTTTTCTCTCACTACTTCTGTTAGTTTCAAACCCGCCTTACTTAGTAGAGCACTTCCGTTAGTTCCAACTTTTATTATTGAATGCACAGATCGTTACTTGTACCTGTTATTTGCATTTTTCACACAATATCTATTTTTTTACAGCTTACAGGTGACCCTGGCTTGTTTTGACCATATCCTGTATATGGTACATGTCTGCACAGAATATTGACAAATTTTCAATAAATCATATATCTTTGTAAATGCTGAATGAAATTGAATCATTTATGGATGGATATTCCTCTTCTTAGAGATTCAAGTTTTAAAATGATTCAGACATGAATCAATTCTTTCGATTTGGTATCCTCTGCAGATGATATTGAAACAGAATATGGTCAAAACAAGCCAGTTCCAACAATAATCTATGCTAACATCTTTTGATGGGCCTCTTTTTAATTTGAATGATTCTAACTTGATGGGAGATTATCTACCGCTGACATTTTGATTTTAATATACAATTTGAAATCTGAGTACATTTCAGTGTTGATTAAGCCGTGAAAAATAGATATTGTCTGAATAGTTCAAAATGCCAAATGAAATCAGTGGCTTTAAATATGTTTAAAGATACCTTCCAGTGTACAAACTGGATGATTTGATGATATATTTGGACTAAAAACATATTCAAACTAATTAATCTGTCAAAATTTTGCTTTAAATCCCTATCAAAACATTGTATTCGTACCCCTGCTATAAAAAAACCTATTGAAAGAGGTCATGTTTGTGTCACGTGACTTGGCTGACATGTGCGAAGCCGGAGGAAAATTCATTGCATATACAAGATATGTTGTCTTTAATCGCTGATTATTTATCATAAATATCGAAGCCTAATTAAATTCTCAGATTACCCACTGCCCACATCTTTTTATGTTTTTTATTTTTTATCTCAGAAACTGTTGTGCACTTAAGCTCACCATCAAGTTCATCAACATATGCCAGCTAGGGAAGTAAGGGAACCCTTACATTTTTGTCCTGTATGCGCTCCATGGATGTTTTTCTGGGAATCCAGTATTTTTCTAGTAAGATTGGATGTTTCTACTTTCCATATACTTTTATTGGAAATAACCACCCGATAAATACCTTCGTGGGGAAAGTATCTTTAACTAAAGGGTCGAACAGATGAACCAATTATTTCCATGGGAATATCTTTAAAATGAGTGCATAAAACAACAACCTGCCAGCCAGACTTTTCTCAAATCATAATAATACTTTAAAAAGGAAATAATATATGTACATGTACATGTACATTGTAGGTAGGGCCTACTTGAAAAAGAAAGTCTTACATCCCTGCTTGTTACTGATCTGTCTCATCATATACAGTACATCAATGTAATGTTTCTTAAAGGTTCATTTATCTGTGTGACCTACAAATACTAGACCACCTGATGTAAATATATGTACACCTACATTAAAAACTTTTGTTCCTATGATTCAAATATCAGACGAAGTGTAATACTTGATTATTATGTACCATATACTAAATGGATGCAGGGGACAACTGCAAATTTTCTACACTTGCATGGTAACTGGGTGGGTGGGTTCAAGTTGAATGAAATCACTGATAGAAAATGATAAATTAAATGTTGGTAATTAATACTCAATCATGAATGGAAATATGTCAAGTCTCTTACTCCGTTGGTGGGTGGGTCGAAATCTATCTGCGGCTGGTTATTCAATGGGACCCAAGTGTTGAAGTGTCACACCATGTAACCATACAATGTATGTATGTATGTATATATGGGAAGGTCTCTGAATGTTTCACTTTACTGAGTCCTATATAAAGTTTACAGTAATTTGTGGACACATTATATAATAAGAATTATATTCAATGCCTAATCTACATGTATGAGGGAAATTTGGCCCAGACAGCCTACTCTTCTTATTGAATTTCAACTGTCAACTTTCAATTGTAATCTCTGGAGAGTTCACAAGATAAAAACACAATTTTTCATACAATCAGGAACGATAATCCATGAAGCCAAGGTCCGATATACACGAATATGGAAAGGAATCAAGATCTTTGGGATATAAAAAGATACATTCTAAATTTCATCAAAATCAGATAAAAATTGTGACCTCTAGAGGGTCCACAATCATTGTATTAGATACTTTTACACTATTTGCATCTGAGGAGCAGCAAATTCAGTCCCATTTTTCACGAAATTCAAACTCAACTGTCATTAGGATCCACAACCTTGGTATTACATACTTTTACACTATTTGAATATGAGGAGTGGCCATTTTGTCAGGCGGTTTTGGTCTGATTTTCACAAAATCTGAACTTCACCATCATTAGGGTGTAATGGTGATATATTTGAATGGTTTTTAAAATTGGGTAAAAATTGTGACCTCTTAGAGGTACAAGCTAAAATGCATAATCCAAGAAGTTACGGTTCGATATGCGCGAATGTTGAAAAAATGATCAATGCATTTACTGTTACAACATGTATTCCTGTTCTACATTTACACATTAAAATTATTATCTTGTGCAACTAAAAAGTCAAAATTATTAATAACAATCTGATGCAGTGAAGCTTCTTCAACTGATGTGCTAACGAATTTTGGAACTAATATATTTTTGATTTGGGATGGTGCAAGACCTCCATTTCAAAATTTTCAATGTTGGTCATTTTTGATAAATTTATCGGTTTTAGATCTGATCTCTAACAGCATTACGGCATTATGCACCGCAGAATTGTGACGTAAATCCTAATATTAAAAATAACGAATTCGAAAAACAGACTAACTTCACAACTAGCAAAAGTAGGGCCCTAAAATAATATTGCTCTAAAATAACACTGGAATGTGCAATTTTTTAAAAAATTTCTGTAAGCAGGTTAACTAATTTGTATACATTTTCTAATGCATTTTCCTAATTGCTAAGCTATTCTTATTTAATATGACAATTGGTTGGATTCGAAGAGCAGTACTTCATATCAGATTAGAGGTTTTTTCGTAGATCATAACAATTTTGTTTACACTGTGTATGACCGTAATAGAGATACAGCAGCTTTGTTCTGGATAATTCTTTTGACATGTGGACAATAGTTCAATAGTTGGGTTTTCAAATAGAGAATGACTAACAATGAACCGCTTCTCGTCATTGATAAGATTCCCACCTACATGTAACAATCAACTTTTATTGTCCTACTACTAGAGATTCATCATTAATTATTAACACAACACTTAGTATTTATATAATCCTCTATTGTATGTACATGTATATAACTCAATAAAACCAATCATGAGGTTATGTGGCTTCTATACGAGTGCATTATTCTGTACAGGCCGTAGAATTTTATGGTTACATGGCGGAGGTCGATCGTACTAGCCATGTTTGAAAATTCGATTTTGACAAAAATGCCATTTGTCTGGCGTGCAAAATGACCGATGGTTCAGACCAAATTTCGGTTATTTTCCATAGCCATCAGTAATGACCGGAATATACGTCTTACATGGGATGGTGTCAAACTCTTTACTGATTTTGATGAGGCTTCAACCTGGTACAAAAAATACTTTCCTTGTACGTAGGGATCTTCAACTTTGGGAGGAAACCAGAGAAAACCTACGAGACTGGACAGGCGACCCTACTCCTTGTCACGTACAAAAAACTGATGACACATCTTACAGCATTTATTATATTGTTCAAAGCAAGTAAAACAACATTAATCAAGAATGATGAAAGTCAAACCACATGATAACTACACCATGTATTGAATATATCCCTTCACCTATTCATACAAGTTGTAGGTCTGTGTATAAGAAAAGTTTAGAACAAGAACAATTCTTTCATCTTTGCATAACATAATTCATTGATAAATTCAAAAGTAATTTAATGAAATGTGGACAGGTGAAGCAAATTTTAAAGAAATATAAATATTAAGTTACGATGAAATATTTCTAAATATAAAAAGCCTTGATGGATTGTAAATAGTTCATTTTTACACCATTTTTCATATTTAAATCAAAATGGTGCAAGAAATACAGAATGGAAATTAAAAAACTGAACATGGTGTATTTTGCGCTTTCTGTATGAGCCTTCATCATGATGTTTCAAATTTATAAAAATTAACATTTGCTTTCAAAAAAAGGTATCGAACTGTCAAAATTGTAGTTTTTGGGAAAATTACGTCACTTCAGTGCCGACAAGATACCTGATTGGAATGACATTTGGAACATTAGTTGTACAAATCAAACAATAAATACATGTAATTAATCTAGAATCGTAAAAACTGAATAAGCCAATGGCGGCTAACACAAATTGCTGGCACAAAAATTGTTAATTTTTTTGCTCAAGTCAGATGACCCTTTAATCCTGTGTAAAATACCAGCCCAAAATAGCTTTAATATCTAAGTCACAACCACTTTCCCAGTAAAACTGAAGACATTGTATCAATCCGACAAGTAGTTTCTGAATTACAATCATATTAGAAAAATAAAAATAATAATAATACGAGTAATCATAATAATAAGAGTAATAATAAAAACAATCCGAACAAAAACAATAGTGTTTCACACAAGTTATGCAGTGTGAAACCCTCAAAATGTACCATTATTGACTTCCCGATATACTTACATCGCAACATGGGAAATAACTGCAAGAAGAACTATTTAGGTATTTGTTGATCTAAGTTCTACAGATTGGAAATTTGAGTTCCTTGTTACAATTTGAATAATGGCTAGACACTAGCTAGATAGGGTCTCTATTTAATAAGGCCTACGGGTTATGAATTTATGTGTATTTCAGTGAATAAGTCATGTATGTACGGTAAACTAAATAGGATATCCACAGCGTTTTAATATCATTAAATGGTATGTTGTAATTGAAAATTACCAGAACAAACTATATTGTATGTTTATTTTGGTCAGATTCAATACCTAGCCTAAGTAATTTATGAAATACATAGGCTACTAAAAAAAGTAGGTATTTGGTCTTTTCTGTCGCCAGTTCATTTTCAAAAACAACGAAAATATTACGAGTAATTTGCAACTATTTCCGATATACTTACATCACAACACGGGAAATTACTGCAGAAACCATTTCTGCATTTGTTGACCGTAACTACGAAGCTATAATCCAAGTAATTAACGTACTATTACACTCATTTCATACATTTTACAATGATCAAAATAACTGATTAATCGTCAGCCATCTTAAAATACGTCATTTCCTAACCTTAGCACGTGACCAAAACAGTTAGCAGGTGCCCGTTGCATGGAAATACAGTTCAAGGCGAATTCTGTTATTTTATTCAAAGCGATACAAATCCCATTGCATTTTATTATGTGAATATCACCACGAGCATTATATTTACATCAGTCTAATTCAGGGAATTTCTATGGTTAATTAAATGTTTATTTATTTTCCACACAAAACATTTTGAACTGGCCCTATTTTTTCGAGAGGAGTAGAGGATAGGCCTATTTCCTTTTTAATGTGCTAACAACAATCGTTATAATTTGTGGAAAAATGAGCAAGAATACTTTTAAAAAGTAATTGAATGTTTGATAGAGTATATATTTCCTCCCTAAATAAATTATAGTGTATTTATATGAAATACTAAGAACTATATCTTTGCCCGCGGATGTATAATACATTTTGACCTTTTGACCCACCAGATGTCAAATTAATGTTTTGTATTCATGCGCCTGTAATCTGACTACAGACATTCCATGGAAATTTTGTCCGTGGTTTTAAGCAAAAATATTACCATACAAATGTCACAATGGATATATAAATGGAGAAATGGCGTATAAATATAGAGAAGAACTAGTTGGAAAACGTTTTTTGTCAGTTAAAAGTTCCGGAAAGCTAAAAGTTAGTAAAATATCTGAGTGGGAATGGCGCTCTGGTGTAGTACGAGCTGTTTCAAGCCGTGAAACAGGGAACACAGAGTTTACGGTAAGCTAATATTTTATGATTTTACCCACCCATAACTGTTATATTTAATTTTAAAGAACATTCTCACCCCTCTAGTGTAAGTTTATTACTCTTAAAATTTCTAAATATGTGAATTTCTAAATGCAGACATGTCCTGGAAAAACTTGTAATATCACATCTCAACTTGATCAACGACGACAGAATCAGAGACATTCAGTACGATTGAGGGCAAGAACGTGCAAGACGTATTACATTGTTCAGTTTTGTTTATTACGGAACTGTATGAGTTCCCGTGTTTTGTTATGTCAGGTCTTAATTAATTAATATATATAAGTGATTGGCTGAATTAACAGCATAGTTCTTTGTATTTTCATACGCTTAATTAATTAGTTCAGTTAATTAGTTTAATCACGTGCCTTTACTCCAGCTGGTTTACAATTATGTCATTACTACAGTAACCTACTCTTAAAAATACGAATGAGATCAGACAGTTATTGTTTGTCACACACTCTACTTTAGATTCAAGTCCAATAAAAGTTCTTGTTCAAATTATGGAAAGTTTTCTTGTTGTAGATTGTTATTATATAATGTTTTGCCATCATTATCCCAAGATACATGTCATATTTGCAATGAAATTTGTACACTGTACAACCAAAATATTTGTATTTTCACTTACCCTTTTGATGGTAATATTGTAAGTGCCAGGAGAAAGTTTGAATGATTACACCCCATTTTATGTCAGTTCCACGGTGGCTAAGTGGGTAAGACGCTGGCTTGCAAGCCTGGAGGTCGCGTGTTCAATCCCTGCATTGGCCGACAAAGTTCATCCAGTGGTGAAGAACGGAGGGCCTGACAAGAACAGCTGTCTAGTCGTTTGGATGGACCCAAAAACCTAGGTCTCGTGTACACATTGGCATGCACGTAAAAGACCCCTTGACAGTTGGAATTCGATGTAAGAGTAGGCTGTAGTTCCGCTGTTTGGGCAAAATTTCCCTCATACATGTAGCACACTGTATGGCGTCTGCCAGTCTTCATTAGCCCAGTTCGGAGCAGAGCAGTAGGATGTTAAACCCCATTTCATTTCATTTCAACCATTAAAGATGCATATGATTATGTATGAGCTAAATCTATCTATTGATGGTCTTTTTTCTGACTTCAATATTATTTAGATATTTGTTCATGTGACATGCCCATAATCAACTCTCTAGAACATTGACTGGCTTGGATATTAATTGGATTATACAAGTACCATATGCGCCCTTTAATCAGTTAACAAAAAAGTGGGAAATCATGGCTTTCGTTGATTATCATAGCAATGACAATCAAGACAACGCTGTTATTGTCAAACTTCAAACATTCACAACCTCGCTTGGAATAAGTAATTTGATTGAAATTTTCAATTCATTTTCATTATCTATTTATAAACAATTTATAAGTATTATTTTGATTAGTGATTGGACAAGCTCTGTGTGATTTTAGTTTTGTTTTGAAAGATGAATACGGAAGTTGGCTTGTTTATTAATTTTAGTTTAATTTTTTGCTGATTGTGTCATTAGTGGGACACACAATCAATGGGACACATAATCAACTTTATCACAACATTGGCTTTGGCAATAGACAAATTTTCAACAAAAATGAATTGTCATTCCACGAAACATATCAACTATAAAATTTACCAAAATTAAATAGGTCTACCAATTTTATGCATAATTCAGCATTTATTTAAAACTGATGAAATCGACAGGCCTGAAAATAACGAATTTGGTAGATCTGTATAGATCTGATTCTGATGGTTTATGGTTTAGCTTACTCTCAGAGACATACATGTTCCATCTGATCTGGAGGGTTGGATGGCCAAATGGTTAGCACATACAGGCTATATCATACGGTCTGTCATTGAGTCAACTGGCGGGGTCTCGATTCCCATGTTGTACGTGACACGGAGTAGGGTTGCCTGTCAAACCTTGTGGGTTTTCTCCAGGTCCTCCTCCCACTGCTAAAGACCCCTACGCGCAAGCGAATTATTGAAATAAAATTGAACCATGTGTTAGTCCCGAAATGACCTAGTTTGTGGATGTTAAACCCCATTTCTCTCGCTCTCTCTCTCACCATCTGATCTTGTGCTAGATATTTTCTGTGTTATTTCTATGTATTAGGTATTACTAAGTTTCTACCATTAAATAAGTTTCAAAATTCTACAGTTGTAAAAGACAGTAACCCAGTCTTGACAATCACCAGGTCCCTTCTGCTGCATTGCATCATGTGGCACAATTAAGTTATACATTTTGTAAAATCTTATTGAATGTTATGTACCAATAACTGTAAGACCAAGGACCCTATAAATACATGTAGATAAGGTTCATGCTAAAAACAATTGTCGTTATATATCATGTGTAATGCCAGACCAGCATACATGTACATGTCCATGTCCATCGAAATAAATCACCAAAATTGAATGAATACAGTCAAAAGCAAATTTTTCAAGACACAAACACATGATGACATACAGGTATGCATGTATGGGTGACATGACTAACAATATAATCACATTTGCAAGAAGAAACTTAGTTGCATAAAAAAAAAAATTACAAGGTTATGATAATGTTCATACAGTACATAACCGTACATAGAAATAAAACTAAAGCTTTAAAGCATTTTGATTTTGTTCTTATCAGTATTTTAAATTGTATGGAATTGTTCAATTCATTGAAAATTGGAACTTAATGCAAAATTATTTCAAAAAGTTATTTTTTTCTTTTTTTTTTCCATTGCGTTAGGAAATGAATTTCATCCTCTATCTCCTGATGGATAATTACATGTATATACAAACAATTTGAATCTTCAAATATATTTTTCTTAGTGCACAATTATGTCGTCTGTTTGGACTTGCAGAACTTATTTTTGGCAGAAAGTATATATTTTTTATGGACCAGGAGAATGAAGCTACATTGTTAGATTCAAATTGCATAATAGGCCCATAATTCTAGAATAAAGGCTAAATACAATATCTGTGTTGTGTTGTGAAATCTGTCTTGTCCACAGGTTTGTCTTCTGGGGTTTTCTGCACTTACTGTTAAGTTAGCACCATTTTATGCTTGCATTGGCTTCTATGGATTTCACACTGCCATCTTTACATGTATTTCTCTCGGTCAGATACATGTACAGTATAGGGATAATAATTGTATATTCTACATACAAGTCAAGTAATGCGTTTTGAAGGTCTTTTGAAAATCAGACATTTTTGATTACATGAAATATTAATAAGAAGAGATTTTTCATTAAAATAGTGCATATTTTTGGCTTGAACAATTTAACTATTGAAAAAAAATGATCAACCAATGTTTCGGCAATTGTTACATGTACATATGTGTGCATTGTTGCGTGTAGTGCTCTTATGCTGCCAGTGACGATTTTACCTGCAGGCTGAAGCCTATCCCTGTGTCGAGAACTAGGGGGCCTCTAGACAAGGTGTAGAATATTTTTGACATTGTAATAAGCCTTCCTTACATGCACTGTAATAAGCCTTTCTTACATGCACTGTAATCTTAAAGATACATTATGGGAGATTAGAAAAAGAATAGGCAGTTCTCACTATAGTAGTTAAAAACTAGATAATGTAAAGGGAATTTGCTGAAAATTTCAGTCAAATTGATCCACCAAGATTTTAGCGATTTAATTTTCGGCCAGGCCTTGATCATCATTACTAAAGTGAGTACGATAAAAAACATAGTCTCGATTATCCATTTCATGATTAGATCATGAATGGAAGTCGAACAGCAAATCGGAACCTAATCCAATAAACATCGCAGGCTAGCAAGGACATAGTTGATTATGGTCTGGATAAGTTAATTAATGTCTAATTAATAATTTAGACAACATTTCAGGCCTAAAGAAAGACCTGCAATAGGCAGATTTAGCTCTTGCATAATGTATGTTTAAACATCCATTGTCATTCTCAGCATTAGTCAATTGTGTTTAAGACATACCTTCATCTTCCTCTAGTCGTGAAGGTGGGGGATTGGGATGTCGACCATGTTTTGTTTTTATCGTCCGTCCACAATTTCTTCAGAACACTCACTCTCACAGATTTGTTGAAATTTTCAGTGATTGTTCATAAAGAAGATTCCTATTCCTAACAAAAATCAGAATTGTTCGATCACAAATCACAGTGTCATCTTCTTGTGAAACAGGACAATTTTTTTGATAGAATTTTAAGAACCCTTTATTTTTGATTTCTTAGAGCTTGATCTGGGTGGTCTTTTGACAATGTTTTGAGAGCTTGCATGGTGGGCATATTAGTGAATCTGCAAACCACCGTCTGTATTTTCAGAACTATTGTACTTGACCAAGTAAATGTGTTTTCTTATGAATTATAAGGATTTTAAAAGATTATAATGTACAATTCTAAATTTAGAGTAAAAATCAGGACAGTGTTATTTAATTTTATGTATGCACATCATAATGTATGTACATGAACATGTCCACCAATAATCTGTTACTGTATATTATCTATAGTCCAATATACATGGAACCCAGTGAACAAAGTACATGTTTTTAAAACAGCACCTACATGTACGATGGGCCAAATGGGATAGAAGTTTGTGTCATTCATCTGCATTTTATCGGCAGTCTTCTTTGTGTGAACAATCCGCATTTAATTGTATGTCTTCTTTGTGTGATCAATCTACATTTTATCGGCTGTCTGATCCATCTGCATTTTATCGGCTGTCATGCAGACCCATCTGGTCAGTGCATATTCCATTCATTCATTCTGTCATAAAGATAAGTCATGTGACCAGAATACATTTTCCAGGTTTTATCCCATGTGGAAACTGTTTTTTTAAAACATAAATCATGTGATTCAGAATAGCCAATTTTCAATATACCTCTTGCTTTCTGATGACAAAGTTAAGCTACCTTAAAGATACATTATGTAAGACTTAGATAAAGAACTAGCCATTCTTGCTATAATAGTTCGAATGTAGATGATGTAAAATGAATAATTTGAAATTTCATTAAAA